GAGCGATCGGACGTTGAAGACTGCCACATGATACTGGGTTGCTGTTAAGGAACTTAAATTAAAGTACTATATTGGGGAAACCCTATTATTTACTATATGTACCCATTATGGTAACCCTAAACCCTAAACCCTATACCCTAAATTTTAGAGGCTTCGCCTAGGTGCGCCAGCGCAGCTATATATTCAGACTGTGATTCGACGGGAGCTTTGCGGATTTGATAAGGAGAATCAACCAAAAAAACCACAGAAAAGGTTGGGAAGAGGTCCAGAAGCCTAGACAAGGCCCAGAAGAGGCCCCGAGGCTGGGAAGAGGCTCAGAAGCCCACAAAAAGACCAGAAGAGGGGCTGAGGGCCCGAAAAGCTTGGGAAGAGAGACGCAGAAGCCCAGAAAAGGCTGGGAAGAGGTCCAGACGCCTAGAAAAAGCGCAGAAGAGGCTCGAAAAGGCCCAGAGGAGGCCCCGAAGCCCAGACGGAAAGGTCCACAAAAGGCCCGAAGAAGCTTGAGGCCCTAGAAGAAGCCTAGAAAAAGCTGGGAAAAGGCCAGGCCCAGAAAAGGCTGGGAAGAGGCCCCGAAGCCACAAAAGGTCCAGAAGAGGCCCGAGGCCCTAGAAAAGAACGAAAGAGAATCCAGAATGCCCAGAAAAGGTGGCCCACAAAAAGCCCAGAAGAGGCCCGAGGCCCTAGAAAAGGCCTAGAAGAGGCCCGAGCCCGGACAAGGTCCAGACGCTAGAAAACGCATAAAGGCCCCAAGGCCCAGAAAAGGCAGGAAGAGGACCAGAAGGCTCAGAAGAGGCCCAGAAGAGCCCCAGAAACCTAGACAAGGCCCGGAAAAGGCGAGGCCCAGAAAAGGCTGGGAAGAAAGGTTAAATTAAGGACCTGGGACGTAAAAAATAAGGATTTGGGACCTAAAATTAAGGATCTGAGAACTAAAAATTAAGGATTTGGGACCCAAAATTAAGAACCTCAACCTACAATTAAGTTCCTGAAACCTAAAATTAAAGACCTGGACCTTAAATTAAGGACCTGGGGTCTCACCACAGCGGGGTCTCCCCACCACAGCGGGGTCTCCCCACCACAGCGGGGTCTCCGCACCACAGCGGGGTCTCCCCACCAGAGCGGCACGAAATGGTCAAATTTGTCCCGAATTTCTGCTATTGTGCTGTAGACCAAGGAAAAATCGTTTTTGAAAGGAAACGAGCCGTTTCTGGCCCATCTGCCCTTTTGGACCCTTAGGGTCCCCACCAGGGTCTCCCCACCACAGCCCCGCCCATCTGCCCTTTTGGACCCTTTAGGCTCCCCACCAAATTCTCCCCACCACAGTTTTTGGACCCTTAGGGTCCTCATCAGGATCAGGGTCTCCCCACCACAGCAGGTCTCCCCACCACAGCGGGCCATAAGGGTGCTTTTTCTGACCCACGTCTGGCGAGGGTTCTAAAATAGA